GTCGAGGCTGCGGTGGCCGGGAGCGGCCACTGCACTCCAGTCTGGGTGACAGAGTGAGACTCCAACTGAAAACAAACAAACAAACAAACAAAAGCATCCAAAAATAGCCATGCATGGTGGCGCACACCTGTAGTCCCAGCTACTCGGGAGGTTGAGGCAGAAGGAACACCCTATCCCAGGGGGGTCAAGGCTATGGAGAGCTGTGATGGTGCCACTGTCCTCCAGCCTGGGCAACAGACCGAGACTCCAACTCAAAAAAAAAAAAAATTAAGATTGGGTTTAAATGAAGGTTAAGGTTTTATTTGTATTTTATGTCAAACACCGACGTCTCTGTGTGATGCTGTTGGTGCATTCTGGTTTATTTTCTTCATAATCATTGCTGTTTATCCATGTTTAGGGTCAAGGAGTGAAAAAGAACAGACGGCTTGCCTTAGAGCTGATGAAGAAAGCAGCTTCCAAGGTAACACACACGTATTGTCGGAGGGAAGCAGTCTCCCCACACACACCCACACGCCGGCAAGTCTAAAAGAGGAAACGGTGGCTGGCCTCTTCCCACAAAGCCCAAGGTGGAAACGGGGTGGGCAGGGGTCGCGGCACTGCGGTGATTAGTCACTCTGGAGTCACAATGCACACAGACACTTGCCACAAAGGGGACAGCAACATTCAAAAGCTGAATTCACCCCCTAGTCAGTAGAATTCGGGCTGATTTTGTGTGAAGGCTAAAATTATAATCAGGAGTGCCCTGATAACAAGCAGCGGGACTCCCAGAGATTGAATGGGCAGAAATGCCACTGAATTCGGAAAACCGAAAGCGTAATTCCTTTGAAGGTTAACTCTGTCGTGTCTGATTCCCACTGGCTTCTTGGGCTTTGGTAATGGGGCTGTTTATCAAACTTAGTACTGGGTGAATTTTGTCACTTTCTACACTTCAGTGGTATCTTCAGATCAGTGTGTTTCCATGAAGGGCCACAGAGTGGAGGTTATAAATGTCACTTGAGAGGACACACACACACACACACACACACACACACACACACACACGCAAACATACCATGTTCAATGCAAGCACACCCACGTATGCACACTCATATGCATATCCATATAGATGTGCAGATATATACATTTGTAGAAACCACTATGATTCTACACCTTGGCAGGGCACTTTATAGCCCTTTTGGCTCTTAGATGTGCCCTATTTCCAACGCTGCTAATGCTTGCCTTAGCAATGAAGACTCCTTTTTTTTTTTCCAAGTTGGAGTCTCACTCCATTGCCCAAGCTGGAGTGCAGTGGCATGTTCACGACCACCCCAGCATCAACCTGCTGGGCTCCAGCGATCCATCCACCTCAGCCTTCCAAGTAGCCAGAACTACAGGCGCATGCTACCATGCCTGGCTAAATTTTAATTTTTACTGTAGAGACGAGGTCTCATCATATTGTCCGGGCTGGTCTCAAGCCCGCAGGCTCAGGCAATCCACTCACTTTGGCCTTCCAAAGTGCTGGGATTACAGGCTGAGCCACCAAGTCCGACCTAAAGACTCTTAAAGTTATTGTGGTGGGGGCTGGGTACTGTGGCTTGCACCTGTAATCCCAGCACCTTGAGAGGCCAAAGTGGGAGGATTGCTTGAGCTCAGGAGTTGGAAACCAGCCTGGGAAACATAGCAAGAACTTATCTCTTAAACAATTTTAAAAAAATTTACTGGGTGTGTAGCATGTGCTTGTAGTCCTAAAATACTCGGGAGGTTGAGGCTGCAACATCGCTTGAGCACAGGCATTTGAGGTTTCGATAAGCCATGATCGTGCCACTGCACTCCAGCCTGGGTGACACAGTGAGATCCTACGTCTAAAAGAAAAAATTATCATGTTGAGTTTTCTCCCTCATTCTTCTCCCTTGATGAGATTTTTTGCAGAGCAGGAAGCTGGAGCAGGAATAGGACACCTGAGAGGCTTCTGTTCAATCTCTGTGTTATCAAGAGGGCACATGACTCAGGAAGAAGAAAGTCACTGATGTGCACACCAGCTCCTGGCCTCAGCACAAATTATAGGGCAGAGGTAGAAAAGCACCTTAATGTTAGGCACTGAGGGCATCGGGTCCAGAGCACCCTAAAATGGGACAGTCAGGGATTCCTGGCAGGTGTGAGATTTGTATCTTTTCAGCTATCCTAGAATTGAGTCAATGTCTAGGGTGCTTAATTTTGAATAGATCTTTAGCAGAGCTTAGATTTATTCAAGCAGGCTTGGGGAAATGCAATCTTATGGCCTGGAGTAATCATGTCTTTTTTTTTTTTTT